AATGTCACTTCTATTTACAGCCAGTTGGCTGGAAGTAGTCAAGCAACTCTACCTAACTGCAAGGGAGTTTGTAAATGTGGGGAAGCCCACGGAATAGCTGGCAGGCATTTCTGCCTCTACCATGGCATCTCACCACCTTTCCACATATTGTGGCCTCCCTGTCATCTCCCCACCCTGACTCCACATACTGGATCAAGCATTAGATTATGTAGATGATGATCAGATCATCACTGAGTACATGATACTTCCAAAATAATGGATCTGGTTTGAGTGTTACCTTGAATCCCTTGCTTTTAGATGAGCGATAGGTCGAAACTATCCAAGACAAAGAGTGGCTTGCTGCAGAGGCTGCAAGATAGTGTCCTGCAAGGGTAAATTGTATGATAGGACTGGGTATGTAATTCTAAACTTCTGACTTAAATAATCGGAAGTTCTGGCAACAGAGGCCCTATATTTGTGCATGAGGTCAACCAGCTGGAGCCAGACAGTAGCTACACACCAGAGATGGCCCTTCATTCCTGGGTCTAACCCAGTCCCCATCACCTGGCAGCTTGACTCAGTCATAGTGCCTGCTGGAACCCTGTAACAGGTAGAATCTGTGATCCCTGCATCTGGATATGCACAGTTAGGATCCTCCACAGTTTTATCACCCCAAAGATGGAGTTCTTTCTTCGATGTAACTTAATTTGATTTAATTTAATTTTCTTAGGTATAATTGAAGATGTTTAATTTCCTCCCTCTTATTTAATCTGGATTTAATGCTCTCTTTATGAGTCTCTTAGTCATCTTTTTGGTCAAAGCTGAGTCACTCCAATTTCTTGATTACCCTTCTCTCTTATGTCCCAGTATTCATCCCTTTGACAGTCCATGTCAATCTTATTGGGACACTCTTAATTTCCCACGTCCTTTAAAAGATAACTGGAAATCAACAGACAACAGAATCAAGGTGTTAGAACTGAAATATTGCAATAAACAAAACTCTAGTCTGAAGTGAATGGAGTGTGTTTTGACCCTTGCAAGTTAAAAATTGTTGTCATGTTCCTTAATCTACAAGGTTTTGTCAAATTTCTTTGGGCTTCAAGTCACATCAGTTCCTAGACTGACTGCAGGAGTACACCACCCTCCCATCCTTAGGACCAGGCTAAGAAGGAAGCTTGGTGGACCTCCGCATCCTCCGCCTGCAGCAACCTGACTACAGTAATATTTGTGGGTGCAGCTCCAGACACCTACAATTTAATAGGAGCTCATTGACTCCTAATCAGCAGACTTGCTTTACTGTGTTTCTCTTTCTAATAATCGGGATTATTGATACTGATGATAAAAGCAAGCACTTACTGAATTTAAATTGTGCCTGGCATGGTTCCATGTGCTTTACATGGTTCTGGTGAAACTGACAACCCTATGAGGTAAGTACAATTATAATTCTGTTTTATAGAGATGAAATAGAGACTTGGGACTCTCCCAAGATTGTACTGCCAGGAAGCAACAGAAATGGGACTTGAACTTGGAAAGGCTCATGTTCCAAAGTCTTAATCATTATGCTTAATCATTGTGCTATGCTATGTGTGGTACAGCATGGGAATATTTGGGATTACTAAAATATTTCTTTTACTTTTTTTTTTTGAGACAATGTCTCACTTTGTTGGCTAGGCTGGAGTGTAGTGGTGCAATCATGGCTCCTTGCAGCCTCAGTCTCCTGAGGTTCATGCGATCCTCGATCCTCCCACCTCAGCCTCACAAGGAGCTGGGACTACTGTCACGCACCACCACACCCAGCTAGTTTTTGTATTTTTAGTAGAGACAGAGTTTCACCATGTTGCTCAGGCTGGTTTCGAACTCCTGGGCTCAAGCGATCCACCTGCCTTGGCCTCCCAAAGTGCTGGGATTACAAACATGAGCCACCATGCCCAGCCTGAAATCACTAAAATGTTGTTTGATCTAAATGCATTGTTTTGAATGTTAGGTTGCTAGTGATTAGGGCTCTTCTAGCTCCATTTGGCTAGTGTAGGGAGACATCTGGTGGCCATTCTGTTTTTTAAAACTTTTCTTCATGGAAAACTTCAAATTAATACAAAGTAAACAGAACAGTATCATAAATCCCCCTCTATCCACCACCTAGCTTTAACAATTAACATTCTGCCATTCTGTTTACATTCATACCTCCAGCCAATCTCCTCCTCTTCCCCACTTATTTTTTACGGTTCTTTTTCAAAAATAAATTTTACATATAGTAAAATGCACACAATTTTAACAATTTATCTTGACCAACAGGTACACTCATGTAACCCACAGCCCTATCATGATATGGAATGTTTCCATCACTCCAAAAATATCCTTTGCCTGACAGCTCCCCAACTAGACAGCAATTGTTCTGATTTTTCACTGTGGATTAGTTTTGCTTGTCCCAGAGTGCCATATCAATGGAATCCTACAGTACGACTCTTTTGTGTCTGGGCTCTTTCACTCAGCATAATGTCTGTGAGAGTCATCCATGCTCTTGCGTGTACCCGTTATTTCTCTTTTATTGCTGTCCTCCTTCTATTGTACAGATGAGCCACAGCCATTCTCCTGTTGATGGGGATTTGGATTGTTTCCAGTTAGGGGCCATTCTGAATATAGTTGAGCATGAGTTGAACTTCATGTTCAAGTCTTTTTGTAGACATATGTTTACATTTCTCTTGTGTAAATACTTAGGAGTGGAATCGCTGGATCAAAGAACAGAGGCATGGTTAACTTCATTAGAAACTGCCAGATCTTTTTCCCAAAGTGATTTTCTTTGCATTCCTCCCAGCAGTGTGAGAGAATTGTCTGCTCCGCATCGTCACCAGTATTTGGTGTTGTCAGTGTTTTTAATTTTGACTATTCTGGTGGTATCTCATTGTGGTTTTAATTTGTGTTTCCCTGATGACTAACAAAATGTTGACCATTTTTCTATGTGTGTATTGCCAATTTGTCTTTCCTCCTTTATGAAGTGTCCATTCAAGTCTTTTGCCAAATTTTCACTGGGTTTGTCTTTTTATTATTGGACTGTAGGTGTCTTTTATTCTGGATACACATTCTTTGCGGCTATACATTTTTTGAATATTTTCTGCTGGTCTGTGACTTGCCTATTTTCTTAACCGCGTCTTCTAATGAGAAACTTTATATTTGATGAAGTCTGATTTCTTATTTTGTGTCTTTTATTATTATTTCTTCCTGGCTGTCATCTAAGAAAACTTTGTCTTCCCTTGGTTACAAAGATGGTCCCTTTGTTTACTTCCAGTAGCTTTATATAGATTTTAAATTTGCATTTAGGTCTCAGATGCATCTCAAGTTTATGTGTGTGTGTATGTGTGTATAGTGTAATATAATAAAGGGACTGAGATGCATTTTTACTTTCTTTTAATTTTATATTTACGTATTTTTAAGTAGAGATGGGAGTCTCCCTGTGTTACACAGGCCGGTCTCCAACTCCTGGCTTTAGGCAATCCTCCCGCCTCAGCATCCCAGTGTGCTGGGATCACAGCTGTGAGCCACCACACGCAACTGCAATTTTTTTCTTTCTATAAATATCTAGTGGTTCCTCCACCATTGGATGGAAATGTTTTCCGTTTCTGTGCTTAATTGTTTTGGGACCTCTACCGAAAATCAATTGCCACACAGTCTTATTAAACACAGTCTTATTCTAGCTTTGTTTTCTTTTGCAAGATTACGTTGGCTATGCTAGGACCTTTGCATATCCATATGTACCAGTTGTCAATTTATTGCCTCTCAGATCCAAATTCACTCTCCATTACCTGCTGAGCAATAACAAACTGCACACTTCAGGCATTTCTCCTTAAAGTGAACACAATGTCATTTTTGTCACTAGAGGGCACTGGAGGGACATTGCAAAGGCAGGCGGCTTCTCTTCCTGAGGTCCTTTGCTATGTTTTGCTTTCTCTTGTTTTCAGACTGTACATTCTGCTGCACAGTGGTATGTTGTTGGGGGGACACACGCTAACTGTGTGCCCAAAGCACATAGTCCATCAGTGACCTCACATCTCTGGCCAAGGGCCTGGTGACCACTTTGTCACAGCCCTCCTGACAAGACATCACACACTCCAGGCTTCATAACTACTCCTGTTCCCTCTCCCAACGCACACCTGCCCTCTGGCCGCAGCTTGCCTGAGCCCTGGAAGTTTGATTCCCTTGGCCCCCTCCATGGTCTCCCATCCAGCAGCGCCTGTGCTCAGGAAGGTCATTCCTGGTGCCTGCCCAGTGACCAAACCAGCTCCGGCCCTGGTATCCTGGTGAGATTCTTTGCCATCCAATGGGCTGTAGCCACACCTTCTCCAGTGACGTCTGAAGCCCATCCTTGGAGAGGAACACTCCAAGTTTATCCTTCCTTAAATACTCCTCTGTAGCAAGAATTTCCCTTTCTGGCCCAAACTCCTCATCACTCATGTGGGAATTACAAAGTGAGTTTATATGATTAACATTTATTGAAATAAAGAAAAATTAATTTTTTAAAAAATTCAAGCTTGACTGATCAACATAAAGGAAACAATTTAAAAAAACATGTAGTGAGTACATGGTTGTCAGGAAAGCAAGTCTGGGTATGTTGTCTAGGTTCATTTTCTGGCTTCGTCTTTTGGCAGATTTTGGGCATGGCTTATGACATTCCTATGCCTCAGTTTCCTCATCTGTAGAATGGGCATAATAATAGTATTTCATAGGGTCAGAAAGAAGATCAAAAGAAACAGCACAAGTCAAGCGTTTAGAATAGTACCTAATGGTAAATACTTGGTTCCTGTCAGCTGCTGCTATTTCTATTTTTTATGATTATGATCTCGTATCCCCAACCATATTGTAAACTCTAAGTGAAGACAGCATAAGTTAATGCTGGCTCTACTATCCCAGGGTTTAGCATCTTGTTATTTCCATGCATTAGACGTGTAATAGATATTACCAAATAGACGAGCTGCTGAAGAATGTTCTGTTTCCCGTAGAAAGAAGACGTGAGGAGGAAACACATCCGTTTGCACATGGAAGGGGCGCTGACTGCCCGGGACAAGGTCGGGGTTCAGGATTTTGTGCTATTGGACGCATATACCAGCGAATCTGCCTTTGTCGACAACCTCCGCAAGCGTTTCAACGAGAACCTCATATACGTAACGTGATCCATTTCTCAGCTGTTTTTTTAGAGTGGTTGTTTCCTTCTTGCCTTCACGACTTTGATGAGTGTGAATAATATCACTCTATTAGGTTAGACATAGAAGGGAGATACTGAGGCGCCACTCTTAGATGCACTTCGATCCTTTGTGCTAAGACGTTTATGGCTGCCCGTGACAGATACCCAACTTACACCAGCCTAAGTCACTAAAGGGAATCTGTCCATGTCTGTAACTGTAGGTCCCAGGAGTAGATCTAGGGTTTCAGACGATGTCTGGAGACTCTTTCTCCATCTCTGCTCTGCTTTCTTAGGCATCCATTTCCTTCTCAGGTGCATGGCAGCAAGATGGTTGCCCTCAGATCCGGGCTGTCATTTTATCAGCTTAGGGTTGCCGCTGAGAAGCGAGCCCATCCTCTGGGGAAGAAGCTCTAGTAAATGGCCCAAGCTGATGTTGATCAGCTCTAATTGGTCCACTTTCGGTCATGTGCCTGTCTCTGAACCAATCCCATGGCTAGAAATGGAGACTATTCTGATTGGCCAAGCTCTTACCAGGCCCGCCCCTGGAGGTGAGGGGTGGAGTCGGAGCCCTAGACTGTATATACGGAGAGCTGGGGAAGAGGGTTACCCGAAGGACTTTGCTGGGAGAAAGGGGCAGAGATACCAAGCAGGCAAAACTAAAAGCTGTCCAGCATACCCCATGAATGGTCAAGGGTCAAGAATGAAGCACTTACCAAACTCTTCTCAGGTTGATCTTGTCACATCTAGTTTTTATTCAAAAACCAGTTTTTGTTAAATTCCCATTTATCACCACGCTCTGATTTGGTGGTCAATTTTCAGGTAAATTCCTCTAGGGTAAACTTCATAGTGTCCCTGTGTGTGTCATGGGTGTTATTAAAATTATTTAATTTTTTGAGATTTTATTAGCTTTTGCCAAGAGTAAATTAGACAGAAGCGGTTTAAAAATATTTGTCTTGTAGCTATTTTGTTTGTAATGGTGCCCGTGGCTTAATCTATATATTGAAACCAAGGTTACCAGAAGAAATAAACAAGGTGTTTCTTAGAGTACATATCCTACAGCCTAACGTTCAGAATGCTCACCCTTAATTGTAGAAATAGAAAAAAAAAAAAAACAACTAATTTTATATACAGGAAAAGGAAAAATGACATGGTACAGAGAAGTACAAATGGCATGATAGGATCATCGTGATTAAGCTAAATGTTTCTGATTTGAACTGATAAATTTCAGAAACTGTGTCTTCCACCCTGAATTTCTACTGATTGAAGTAATATGGAGTTTTAGTGAAAATTCTCGGCTTCAATTCTATGTTTGATTTTTGTCCTGAAGATTGGAGACATTAGTTAGAATGATTTTGTGTGTAATCTATTTTTTTTTTTTTAATTTGAGATGGATCTTGCTAAGTTGCCCAGGCTAGTCTTGAACTCCTGGGTTCAAGCACTCCTCCTGCCTCAGCCTCCCACGTAGCTGGAATTACAGGCACACACCACCACACCCAGCTATTTTAGCATAATCTTAATATAGATTTAGTGCGTCCTGTATTTGAAACAGCTACACACTGAGAATCTGAGAATATCAGATGTATTTTCCAAGGAGCACATTAATTTTTTTCTATATAAGAGTGTGGAGCTCTTTATTCATAATTGTATTTCAAAAGTCTTATGTTAGTGGTTATATTACAAATATAAGTAAGTACCTGAAAAACCTGAATATGAGTAGAGTCTAATGTTGAAATCTGGGAATATAAGTGCCAGTAGCAGGAGTGTTTTGCCCAATTTTAGAAGGTTTGTAGGTATACCCATCCTGTTTTCTTGTTTGTTTGTTTTGTTCTGGTTTTTTTTTTTCTTTCCTTCTTTTTTTTTTTTCCTTCATATGGAGTCTCACTCTGTTGCCCAGGCTGGAGTGTAGTAGCCCGATCTTGGCTCACTGGAACCTCCACCACCCGGGTTCAAGCAATTCTTCTACCTCAGCCTCCCCAGTAGCTGAGACTAGAGGCGCCTGCCACCACCCCCGGCTAATTTTTTTTGTATTTTTAGTAGAGATGGGGTTTCACCATGTTGGCCAGGCTGGTCTCAAACTCCTGACCTTGGGTGACCCACCTTCCTCAGCCTCCCAGAGTCCTGGGATTACAGGCGTGAGCCACCACGCCCGGCCCACCCATCCTACTTTCACTCAGTGCCAGAGAGACCTTTAAGAACCATGCATCAGGTTACGTGCTCCCCTCTTAAAGTGATCCATTCACGTAATGGTTTAGGGAGGTATTTCTCTTTTTTTGTATCTTCAACTTTTAACTTCAGGGGTACATGTGCAGGATGTGCAGGTTTGTTACATAGGTAAACGTGTGCTGTGGTGGTTTGCTGATCAACCCATCACCTAGGTATTAAGACCAGCATGCATTAGCTATTCTTTCTGATGCTCTCTGTCCCCTGCAATAAGCCCCAATGTGTGTTGTTCCCCCCGCCTCACAAATGTGTCCATGTGTTCTCATCGTTTAGTTCCCACTTATTAGCAAGAACATGCAGTGTTTGGTTTTCTGTTCCTGCATTAGTTTGCTGAGGATAACGGCTTCTAGCTTCTTCCATGTACCAGCAAAGGACATGATCTCGTTCCCTTATATGGCTGCATAGTATTCCATAATGTATATGCACTCTATTTTCTTTATCCAGTCTATCATTGATGGGCATTTGGGTTGATTCCATGTCTTTGCTGTTGTGAATAGTGCTGCAGTGAACACACATGTACATGTATCTTTATAATAGCATGATTTATATTTCTTTGGGTATATACCCAGTATTGGGATTGCTGGGTCAAATGGTATTTCTGCCTCTAGATCTTTGAGGAATCGCCACACTGTTTTCCACAGTGGTTGAACTAATTTACACTTCCACCAACAGTGTAAAAGCCTTCCTTTTTCTCCACTGCCTTGCCAGCATCTGTTGTTTTTTCACTTTTTAATAATCGCCATTCTGACTGGCATGAGATGACATCTCATTGTGGTTTGGATTTGCATTTCTCTCATGATCAGTGGTGTTGAGCTTTTTTTCATATGATTGTTGGCTGCATGTATGTCTCCTCTTTGAGAAGTGTCTGTTTATTTCCTGTGCCCACTTTTTAATGGGGTTGTTTTTTCTTGTAAATTTGTTTAAATTCCTTGTAGACCGGATATTAGACCTTTGTCAGATGAATAGGTTGCAGAACTTTTCTCCCATTCTGTAGGTTGCCTCTTCACTCTGGTGATAGTTTCTTTTGCTGTGCAGAAGCCCTTTAGTTTAATTAGATCCCATTTGTCAATTTTTGCTTTTGTTGCAATTGCTTTTGGCATTTTCATCATGAAATCTTTGTAGGGCAGGTATTTCATTTCAGTAGGGAAGGGTGGTATCTCTGCCATCCGAGCCCACAGAGCCGGGATGATCTGAACCTGCTCCATCTTCAACATCCTCCCTTGCTAGTCTCCGTTCTGCCCTTACTCAGACTTCAACCACAATGGCCTCTCGTGCCCCTAGCCTGCCACATGTATTTCTTCAGCCTGAAATGCCCTTCCTGCCTACTTTGTTCGTGGCTGGCTCCTCATCCTTCAAGCTCTGCTCAGATGTCACCTCCTTAAAGAAGTCTTCCCGGCAAGGTGTGGTGGCTCACACCTGTAATCCCAGCACTTTGGGAGGCCAAGGCAGGCAGATCACCTGAGGTCAGGAGTTCAAGACCAGCCTGGCCAACATGGTGAAACCCCATCTCTACTAAAAATATAAAATTAGCTGGGTGTGGTGGCGCATGCCTGTAATCCCAGCTATGGGAGGCTGAGGAGAATCACTTGAACCCAGGAGGCAGAGGTTGCAGTGAGCTGAGATCGAGCCACTGCACCCCAGCCTGGGCAGCGAAGTGAGACTCTGTCTCAAAAAAAAAAAAAAAAAAAAAAAAAAGAAGAAGAAGACTTCCCCATGCCTGCTAATATGGCCTGCCTTCATTGTTTATACCCTCGTTACACTGTGTATACCTTTCTTTTTTTATTATTATTATTATTTTTTTATTTTTTATTTTTTGAGACGGAGTCTTGCTCTGTCACCCGGGCTGGAGTGCAATGATGCGATCTCGGCTCACTGCAACCTCCACCTCCTGGGTTCAAGAGATTCTCCTGCCTCTGCCTCCTGAGTAGCTGGGACTACAGGCGTGCACCATCATGCCCGGCTAATTTTTTGTATTTTTAGTAGAGATGGGGTTTTACCATGTTAGCCAGGATGGTCTTGATCTCCTCACCTGTGATCCGCCTACCTCGGCCTCCCAAAGTGCTGGGATTACAGGCATGAGCCACCGCACCCAGCCATGTACACCTTTCTTAATACTGATCTCTTCCTGCAGCTGTCTTTATTCCTCAGCTGTTTGTCTGCTGTCTCCCTCATACCCCCACCCCCACCATGTAAGCTCCCAGCAGAGATCCCGCCTGATTTATCATTTTAAATCCTCCATGCAGAATGAATACATGGGAGTCATCATGTGTGACAGTCTTTTACACCCCAGAATTCCTCACTTGTGCTTTGGTCTATTTCTCTAGACATATATTGGCACCCTCCTTGTGTCTGTGAATCCATACCAGGAGCTCGGAATCTACACTGTGAGCCAGATGGAACTTTATCAAGGGGTCAATTTCTTTGAACTGCCGCCACATGTGTGAGTAGCATCCACAGGATCATCACTAGAAGGATTTTTCTTTTTCCCCTTCCTCTCTCTCCTTCCTTCTCACCATGCATCTGTCCGTCCATCCATCCATCCATCCATCCATCCACCCACCCATCTGTTCATCCTCCTATCCATCCACATATCCATCCATCCACCTATCCATCCATTCATTCACCTATCCATCCACCTACCTACCTATCCATCAATACATCCATCCATTGATCTAAATCCTTGATGCATGTTTATTAGGTTCTGTACCTCATTTAAGCCCTTGCCTTCTTGTAACGTAAGTCTTCAAAGCAGTAGAAAACTTTAGAAGGTCTTTATGGAATCTCAGCTTAAATATGAAAAAAGGTGGAACCTTTGTGTAACTGCTGAGAAATTTAAGAGTGTGGCTGGAGAGACGTCTTCTCCGGGAAGAGGGTTGCTATAGTGCCGTCCACTGGTGCCTAAGAAGACTGCTCCTTGGTAGAAACTTAACCAGGGCTGTGGAAGCTTAAGAGGTGCAAATTTCTTCATTCCTCTCCCCTATGTATAACCTATGGTAATAATAATTTGTAGAGGGTGATTATATTTTTAGTACATAACATTTTCTGTTTTATGCAAATTTTTGAAAATACATACTCGCCTGCAGTATGGCCAGAATTTGTTTATATGTAACACTATAAGCTGACAGGGTAGAATTATTCACCTGACCTCAGATCTCTTGTCTCCAAACACTATTTTCCTTCTTAACATGTAACTGACTCTGTAAAAACAATCTGTTTAGATTTCTCATTTGATTTGGAAGCTAATTAAAAGGGACTGAAATAAAAATATACGTGTAGTTAGAGTTTACTGATTAGTTACACATTAATTCAGAGTTTCTAGAGCCATTTCACAGAGGCTAGAAAATATAACCACTTTGATATCAGTTTTCACAAAGTTGAGGACATTTTTAAGTCTTAAAACCTTACCATTTTAAATAATTTCCATTGTATTTGAAAATAATGTATAACCCATATTATCTGCTAAATAATGCTGTTTGTTTGTCACTACGCCTAATTGGCCAAATTTTCTAATAGTTATTTAACATTCAAAACAACAACTACCAAGAGAAAGGAAAGATGAGCAATTTTTTCTTGCCCAGGCTTTGCTGAATTTTCTAGTTTTTCTCCCTCTTGACTTCTAGGCTAATATTTGGATTCTGCCTCTGTTGTCTTGGTGACTCAGCTATTCCACTTTCTTTTCTTTTTTTTTCTTTTTGAGACAGAGTCTTGCTCTGTTGCCCAGGCAGGAGTGCAGTGGTGCTATTTTGGCTCACTGCAAGCTCCACCTCCTGGGTTCATGCCATTCTCCTGCCTCAGCCTCCTGAGTAGCTGGGACTACAGGCGCCCACCACCATGCCCGGCTAATGTTTTTTTTTTTTTGTATTTTTAGTAGAGATGGGGTTTCGCTGTGTTGGCCAGGATGGTCTCGATCTCCTGAGCTCATGATCCACCCGCCTCGGCCTCCCAAAGTGCTGGGATTACAGGCATGAACTATTCCACTCATAAGCCTTTCTGCATCACTGCCATATATATGTTGAGACAGGGTCTTGCTTTGTCATCCAGACTGGAGAGCGGTGACACAATAATGGATCACTGCAGCCTCCACCTCCCACAACTCAGGTGATCCTCCAACCTCAGCCTCCTAAGTAGCCAGGACTACAGGCACACACCACCACCCTGGCTAATTTTTGTATTTTTTGTAGAGACAGGGTCTCAGTGTGTTGCCCAGGCTGGTCTCGAACTCCTGGGCTCAAGCGATCTGCCCGTCTCAGCCTCCCAAAGTGCTGGGATTACAGGTGTGAGCCACCATGCCCAGCCACCACCATGGATTAAAAGCCAAAATGGCTTTGCAACTCTGCCTCATATTCAGGTTCTATTCCTGGGACACCTTCATGCTTTGGTGTCTGGTCTTGAAGATAAAGTGCTTCTCATAGTTTTACCTCTTGTCCTAAAGATATCACTGAAGTTTGTTAATCTCTTTGGTTTCCTGCTACTCCATTCTTAGTATTCTAGGTTTTGAGGGAAAAAATATATGAGATCTTATTCTGTTTATTGAATTGGATTATTTAATATTTAGACAAGATTGTTATTTTTACCTACAGTTAAAAGAACATCTCTTGGAGATGTAAGTTATAGCTGGCTTATTCTTATAAAACATGTTGATGGATTAAAAACGTAAATTTGGTGAATTTCCAAAAATATTTTCAGGCCAGGTGCGGTGGCTCACGCCTGTAATCCCAGCACTTTGGGAGGCTGAGGCAGGTGGATCATGAGGTCAGGAGTTCCAGACCAACCTGACCAACATGGTGAAACCCCGTCTCTACTAAAAATACAAAAATTAGCCAGGCGTGGTGGTGTGCACCTATAATTCCAGCTACTCAGGAGGCTGAGGCATGAGAATCGCTTGAACTTGGGAGGCAGAGGTTGCAATGAGCCCAGATCGCGCCATTGCACTCTGGCCTGGGCGACAGAGCAAGACTCCATCCAAAAAAAAAATTCATTACTGCTTAAATTTTTCTTTTAACTCTTCTACTATTTGAGTTTTGATATCTAGTACACTTTATATTTGATCAGTCAGTGGGTCCTGGTAGGGAGTTTTTTGTTTTTTTGTTTTTTGGGTTTGGGTTTGGTTTTTTTTTGTTTGTTTTTGTTTTTGTTTTTGTTTTTGTTTTTGAGACAGAGTCGTGCTCTGTTGCCCAGGCTGGAGTACAATGGCGCCATCTCGGCTCACTGCAACCTCTGCCTCCCGGGTTCAAGTAATTCTCCTGCCTCAGCCTCCCAAGTAGCTGGGATTACAAGCGTGCACCACCATACCTGGCTAATTTTTGTATCTTTTTTTAGTACAGATAGGGTTTCATCATGTTGGCCAGGCTGATCTCGAACTCCTGACCTCAAATGATCCACCCGCCTCAGCTTCCCGGAGTGCTGGGGTTACAAGCATGAACCACTGTGCCCCTCCTATGGAAAGGGCTTGACATGTGTTTGAGCTCATTGTCCTTGTACTACAGTCTGGATGTGGCTTCCTGGAGATGGAGCACCTCATTTTGCTTCTTTGGTGGGTGTCAGAGTCAAGGGAAGTACCATGAAAACCAATTTGTTTCTGTCTCACTCCTCCTCCAGCTACGCTATAGCCGACAACGCTTACCGAATGATGTGCTCTGAACTAAATAACCATTTCATCCTCATTTCTGGAGAGAGTGGGGCAGGGAAAACAGAGGCCTCCAAGAAAATTCTCCAGTATTTTGCAGTGACCTGCCCAATGACCCAGTCACTACAAATAGCCCGTGACAGACTGCTGCTCTCCAACCCAGTGCTGGAGGTAAGCGGTCTCTGGGGACCAATCGAAGGGAGTCCCAGGGAGGTCACTAAGTGAGACAAATCCTGTCTGGGCAGGTCAGTTAAAATGGGCAGGTCACTGTTAAGGGTCACACAGATAGTGTCACAGTTAAGGGTGTGACCTGGAACTAAGCCATTTCCCCATTTGTTGAATGGGTCTGCTTATAGTACCTACCTTTTAAGACATTCGGGGGTTTTTTTGTTGTTTTTTGTTTGTTTGTTTGTTTTTTTAGACAGAGTCTCTCTCTGTCACCCAGGCTGGAGTACAGTGTCACAGAAACCTCCACCTCCTCGGTTTAAGCGATTCTCCTGCTTCAGCTTCCCAAGTAGCTGGTACTACAGGCATGTGCCATCATTCCCAGCTAATTTTTGTATTTTTAGTAGAGACGGGGTTTTGCCATGTTGGCCAGGCTGGTCTCAAACTCCTGACCTCAGGTGATCCACCTGCCTGCATCAGCCTCCCAAAGTGCTAGAATTACAGGCGTGAGCCACCGCACCCAGCCTAAGAAGTTTTGAGGATTGAGTGAAACAGGTGCACAAAAAGCACACAGCAGAATTAGGAAGCACCAAAAATACTGTATTATTTATTAATAGTTTTCTTATTATTGAGTTAAAATTATTTTGGTTATGATTACTTACATTGTTGCAATTCACCGACTTGCTGGCTGATCCTGAACAAGTCATTTTCTCCCTTGTTTTTGTGGCCCTTTCTATAAATGAAGATGTTTATAGTAGAAGGAATTTTCCCAGTGGACCCTTTGAGCAGAACAACGTGATATAAAAAGGGGTCTGGTGATGGGGACTGTCAACCATACCTTCTAGAACAGCATGGGGCTAGGGTTCTATGTACCCCTCCTGAGACCATTTCCAATATATTCCTAGATTGGATTATAGGAAGAAGATATTGTTCCCCTCTTCTCCCCGGGTCCAAATCTAGTGTTTGGCATTAAATTCTCTGTAGTTAGTGATCCCTTCTTAGAAAATAATGCATGCCTTTCCTCCCTGGCTCCTCCTACCCTCTCTCCTCCGTTTTCATACTAAGCATATTATTTGGGATCAGGAATTTGACATGCATGGTGAGCTTAAATGACAGTGAATGACACTTTGTATTCCAAGGCTTTTGGAAATGCCAGAACGCTCCGGAATGACAACTCCAGCAGATTTGGGAAATACATGGATATACAATTTGATTTTCAGGTACACTGAAGCTCCTATTACTGGTTCATGGGGACCCCTTATTTTGCCAGTGACGGAACCCAAGCCAAGGCCCCTTAAGGGGAGAATGACATTTATTGGCTCAAGCAGTTTTAAAAAAAAATCCAGGGTTAGTGCTAGTTTTAGGAAATGCAAATAAAGACCACAATGAGATAACATTTTATACCATCTGGATGGGCAAAAACTAAAAAGTCTAATATATATGAGGTGTTGATGAAGATATGGATCATAAGGAATTCTTACACATTGCTCGTGGGGTGTAATATATTGGGAAATTATTGGAAAATAATGGGGTGTACCAGAGTTATGATGTTATCTTAGGAAGCTGAAAAAACATAATCTAAGGTGCAACCATCCCGCTCTCAGAGATATCTCAGAGATATCAGATGCATAAGCGTGTCCGTAACAGAACTGCTCATCATGATGGGCAAGTAAGTAGCCTGAACAGCACCAACGCATCTGGAGAGAACTGAAATGTCCATCAACAGGAGAATGACTACATTGTGGTGTGTTCACACCATCAGGCATTACACTGCAGAGAGCAAATGAACCACAGCTACACCTCACATGGATGGGTCTTGGGAACATACTGTATGCCAGCGTGATATCATTTTTTTTCATTAAGCTTAAAAATAAATCACAAGGACCGGACACAGTGGCTCATGCCTGTAATCCCAGCAGTTTGGGAGGCCAAGGCAGGTGGATTACCTGAGGTCAGGAGTTCAAGACCAGCCTGGCCAACATGGTGAAACCCCATCTCTTAAAAAAAAAAATACAAAAAAATTAGCCGGGCGTGGTGGTGTGCTCCTGTAATCCCAGCTACTCGGAAGGCTGAGGCAGGAGAATTGCTTGAACCTGGGAGGTGGAGGTTTCAGACAGCCAAGATGGCACCACTGCACTCCAGCCCGGGCAACAAGAGTGAAACTTCATCTCAAAAAAAAAAAAGACACAAGTAAACAATATATTGTTTAGGCATGCCTGCTTACCTGGCAGGGGCCAGCACTCTTTTTCGGATACAGCCAGATAGTAAATATTTTAGGCTTTGTGAGCCATTCAGCCATGCAGTCGAAATGACCCAAGTCCACTCTTGCAGCATGAAAGCAGCCACGGACAATGCATAAGTGAATGAGCATGGCTGTGTTAGACACAGAATTTAAGTGGAGCTAAGGCAAGCAGGAAAGGAAGGCAAAATTCTCAAGGGCTCATCATTCCAAGTGGTAAAATGACACATGGGAGAACAGCAGCTGTATGAGCATGGAGCTCAATGATGAGGACAAACTGGCTCAAGGATGTCCCAGAGGCTGGGAAGTGGGCCTCAGGCGGAGTGGATTTGGAAAGAAATTTAATAGCCATGCGTATTTGAAAACCTTTTTGGAAGTTCAACACATATACTGAAAAGGCTGTAAAACATGGGGACAGCCCAGTGAATTTTTACATATGTATCCACCTCTGTAACCACCACCCAGACCAAGACATAAAAATGTCTAGCATCTGGGCCGGGCTTGGTGGCTCGCTCCTGTAATCCCAGCACTTTGGGAGGCCGAGGTGGGCGGATCACCTGAGGTCAGGAGTTCGAGACAAGCCTGGCCAACATGGTGAAACCCTGTCTCTAATAAAAATACAAAAATTACCCAGGTGTGGTGGTGCACACCTGTAGTCCCAGTTACTTGGGAGGCTGAGGCATGAGAATCGCTTGAACTTGGGAGGCAGAGGTTGCAGTGAGCCCAGATTACACCACTGCACTCCAGCCTGAGCAAGAGAGTAAGACTCTGTCTCAAAAAAAAAAAAAAAAAAATGATAGCATCTGGAGGCCAGGCAGTGCTGACTCACACCTGTAATACCAGCATTTTGGGAGGTCGAGGTGGGAGGATTGCTTGAGCCCAGGAGTTCAAGACCAGCCTGGGGAACATAGTGAGACCCCGTCTTTACAAAAAACAAAAATAAAATAGCAAGGCATAGTGGTGCACGCTTATAGTCCCAGTTACTTGGGAGGCTGAGGCGGGAGAATTGCTTGAGCCCAGGCATTTGAGGTTATAATGAGCCACGATCAGGCCACAGCACTCCAGCGTGGGCAACAGAGCAAGACCCTATCTCTTAAAATAAAAATTAAAAAAAAAAAATTCTAACATCTGAAAGCTTTTCCTGCTCTTCCCCAACAGACTCCCCCTTCCCACTGCCCACTGTTCTGACCTCTGTGATCATTGGTTCATTTCACTGGTCATTGAAGTGCATATGAATGAAATTACACAGTATGTTCTATTTTGTGCCTGACTTCTTTCAGTCAACGTATCTGTCAGATTCATCCATGTCCTTGCATGTAGCAGTTGTTCATTTTTTGATTATATGACTATGTCACAACTTATCTGTTCTCCTTTTGTTGGACATTTGGGCTGTTTGCAATTTGGGACTGTGACATATAGCAGTTTGAACATCCGTGCACATGCCCTTTAGTAGATTTATATTGGATTAAAGAAGTAGAATCATGGGGTTCTTACCAGCAAAGCAGTGTTAGGATAATTAATGATGGTTCCGGTTGCTCCATACCCTTGCCAACATTTATATTGTTCATCCTTTTGAGAAATTCTGGTGGGATATAGTGGTTTTTCACTGTGATTTAAGTTTGTATCTCCCTGGTAAGTAATGAAATTTTGCTTCTTGGCCACTTAAAGGCTTTCTTTTTCATTCAAGTCTTTTGCCCATTTTTAATTGGGTTGTTGGTTCTTTCCTATTGATTTGCAAGAATCTCTATATATTCTGGAATAAAAATCTTTTATTGGTTATATTATTGAAAATATTAAGACAGTGTGATATTCACACAAGGATAGATAAAGAGGACAATAGATCAGAATAAAGTCCAGAGAAGATCGAGTCCACACATACAGTCAGCTGACTTACAACAGAAGCATCACTATGATTCAGTAGAGACAAGATCATCTTTCTAATAAATGGCACAGATCAACTGGATATCAACATGAATAAAAAGACCTTTGACCACTCCCCCTCTCCATATACAAAAATTCAATAGTGATGGATCATTATCCTAAACAATCAAGCTTCTAGAAAAAGACATAGAAACTATCTTCATGATAGTTTCTTGGGGTAAGCAAAAATCTTTGTAAACAGAACCCAGGAAATACTAATGATAGAAGATTGATAGGTCCAAAAAAAGAAGAAGATTGATAGATTAGACTTCATTCCAACTCAGAACTTCAAGCCATCAGGAGGTGCCAGGAAGAGATTTTTGTTGTCACTGCTGCATTTTTTGTTCTGTTTTGAAGGGCATCCCTGTAGGTGGGCATATCATCAGTTACTTGATAGAGAAGTCCCGAGTTGTCTACCAAAACCAAGGCGAGCGGAATTTCCACATCTTCTACCAGCTGCTGGCAGGTGGTGAGGAGGAGCGCCTGGCTTTCCTGGGACTGGAGCGAGACCCCCAGCTGTATAAATACCTCTCACAGGTGGGAAGGACCAGCACCTGGCTTTGGTGACTCTGGACGAGGGGATCAGAGGTGTTTATACGGGCTGCTGTAGGATGTTTGAAACGTTCTATTACCATTGTGCTATGTGTCCTATTGGCTAATTTCTTGATATATGTATATATCACAAGTAATCTAACCCATCTCCTCTTGTGCCTGGCAGCTGTATCACCTTGGTAAAGTAACCAATGTCTAGGCAAGTGGTTCTCATCCCTGGCTGAAACTAGAATCACCTGAAGAACCCTTTAAAAACACAAATGCCTGGGCCATACCCTCCAGAGATTCAGATTTCACTGGTCTGGGGTAGGACCTGGTGTACAGTCAAAGTGAGGAGCGCTGATCTGAGTGTGATAGAAACTCACCGTCCAACTATATCTAAAACCTATGCTATCTCATTCTGCTTTCAAACTACTTTTTTTTTTTTTTCTTCCTGTTTTTGGGACGGGGTCTCGCTCTGTCCTCCAGGCTAAAGTGCAGTAGCATAATATAATGGCTCATTGTAGCCTTGACCTCCTGGGCTCAAGGACTCCTCCCATCTCAGCCTTCAAAGTAGCTGGGACTACAGGCTCGAGGTACCATGCCTCATTAATTTTTGTAGTTTTTGTAGAGACAGGGTTTCTCCATGTTGTCCAGGCTGGTCTCAAACTCCTGAGCTCCAGAGATCTGCCCATCTTGGCCTCCCAAAGTGCTGCGTTTACAGGCGTGAGCCACTGTAAACTACTTTTGAAAAGATCTTTTTTGGCCGGGCGCGGTGGCTCACGCCTGTAATCCCAGCACTTTGGGAGGCCGAGAAGGGTGGATCACCTGAGGTCGGCAGTTCAAGACCAGCCTGACCAACATGGAGAAACCCCGTCTCTACTAAAAATACAAAATTAGCCAGGCATGGTGGCACATGCCTGTAATCCCAGCTACTCGGGAGGCTGAGGCACGAGAATCGCTTGAACCCGGGAGGCGGAGGTTGAGGTGAGCTGAGATCGCGCCACTGCACTCCAGCCTGGGCAAAAAAGAGCGAAACTCTGTCTCAAAAAAAAAAAAAAACTTTTTTCATGCTCCTGCCTTCCATCTTGACAAACGTTTGCTGCCAAATGAACACACTGTACAGTTCAGGCCATTTCTATAAGCAAGCCTAGGGTCTAGTGTTACAGAATTGACTGTCAGAAGATAACCTTGCAATATTTGTTTTTCTGCAGCCTGCACTAGCGTTCTAGAATACCCAGATTGTATGGCACTTCTCGGTATTTGGTGTCATTAACACCTTTTTTGTCCCAACATTTTTTGATTTTTCTCTTCTCACTTGGCCTGGTTTTGAATGGAGGCCACCTTGTAGAATGTAGATGAAGGCATCATTTAAGAGAGAAAACGAGGTTTTATAAAATGAATCTCACAAAATGAGGATCAATACTTCCTAGAAATCGTGGAAGAAAAGAAGGCTTGACAAAAGTTTACTTTCAAAAATGAAGACAAGCTGGGGCATGATGGCTCAGGCCTGTAATCCCAGCACTTTTGGAAGCCAAGGTGGGAGGATGGCTTGAGTTCAGGAGTTTAAGACCAGCCTGGGCAATGTAGCAAGACCCCGTCTCTAAATGTGTTTTAAAAATAGAAATGAAAAATGAAGCTAAATAATGAAAGAATCTCATAATCTAATTTTTTACTAATCAAACTCTGAACTAATTACTAAAACAAAGAAGACATCAAACATGATTTTTTTTTTCTTTTTGGAGGGTTTAATTTTCCAGACAAAGCTGTATGTCACATCATGTTTGTATTCCCATAGCATGATCAGAAAGGGTCAATTTATAAAAATATTTGAGGGCTTCATCCATTTTCCCAAGGGCTTCTCTAACCCTTTAATAAATAATTCCCTTTTAGAATATATCATGCCTTTATTCTTGTAGATTTTTTTCTGGCCACATTAATTCAACTAGATCCATATACGTCAGGGGCTTTGGAAATGGGTCTAGCAATTTGCCACTATTATTTAAAACCAATTTCATGATCTGTCATAACTTCGGTAAACTTTATGGTTTCACTTGGCAGTATATTTGCACTGCTTCCAAACCAACAGGTTTTGGAGAGGGACTGATTTGCACAGGCCCATCCCTTCGGGGGCAGGAGCAGATGTTGCTGGTTGTGCTGGGAAGGTTTGTGAGGTTGCCAATTTTATATCGGCCACTTCACTAAGAAATATTTTCATGGTATGACACATCTGATTTCCCCCATGCAATGAAGAAATCTTTTAAGAAAACAGATCTTCAGATAATTAGGAAACTGGGAACACCCTGTACCACAAAAGCAAAATAATAAAAAACATTTTCGTAGAACGTTTTCTCTTTAAATCAGTCTGTTATTTAAAAGACAACCTCTGGAGTTCATGGGGAAAATCTCTGCTTGTGATGATTTTCACAAAACCTCTGTTGCTCTAAATGCCAGCCTTTTATTTCCTTGCGGGAAAGCCTTCTTTCATCTGGTCCTGCAGTGACATTTTTGCTGGCGATCTCTAAGTGAGTCAAGAGTTTCTGCTTTCAAGCACTGTAATATCACTGCATATTTCAGCAGATATTTCCTGAGACAAACGGCTTCAATTCATTTAGCAAAAATGATAAGAAAACTATGTTTAAAAGCACGTACAAAAAGATATACCACTTACATGTAACTTGGAATGTTTTCCCAGAACAGAGATTTTTAAATAAAATTCCAAATAAATTTGGGGAAAAAAGCAACAGTTGTCAGATCATTACATGCTAGACAATTAGAGAAAAATCTATTTTTTATTTGCAATTCAGTACATTATAGGACTAGCTTTTGCATCTTCAGAGAGGAATAGACATGCTAATTGCCCTGATAAAAATGACATTAAGTAACTCAAACTTTTTGTCAACAGGGTCATTGTGCCAAAGAGTCATCCATTAATGATAAGAATGACTGGAAAACTGTTTCCAATGCCTTTTCTGTCATTGATTTTACTGAAGCTGACCTCGAGGTATGTGCTCTTGCAGCAGAAATGATAGTTTCCTCTGGGACTGAGGAAACATTCCTGATTTCTTGGTGTTTGCATAATACAGTGGCCAGATTCAACAAATAAAAATACAGGATGCAGCTAGGTGCGATGGCTCACACCTGTAATTCCAGCATTTTGGGAGGCCAAAGCAGGCGGATCATTTGAGGTCAGGAGTTTGAGACCAGCCTGTCCAACATGGTGAAACCCTGTCTCTACTAAAAAAGTACAAAAATTAGCTGGGCGTGGTGGCGGGCGCCTGTAATCCCAGCTACTCTAGAGGCTGAGGTGGGAAAATCGCTTAAATCTGGGAGGCGGAGGTTGCAGTGAGCCGAGATCGTGCCACTGCACTCCAGCCTGGGCGACATGAGTGAGACTGCATCTCAAAAACACAAAAACAAAAGCAAAAATACAGGATGCCTTGTTACATATGAATTTCAGATGAACAGTGAATAATTTTTTAGTATGATCATGTTCCAATTATTGCATGTGGACAAACTTATACTAAAAAAAATATAAGTTTGAAATTCAAATATTAACTGTGGATTCTTTTATCTGGCAACCCTAAGTTTTCCTAATATTGTGTGCAATGAGGAGGAGTCGGGTTTTTTCTCCCGTAAAGTAAGTCCAGTCTCAACAATTTAGATGCCATAGAATTACAAGACTCTCATTCATTGAGGTTTCTATTTTGGCACAAACTGGAACAAATGGTAGAATTTATAAATACTTTGTTTTTACATCTTTTTGTCTTTTTTTTTTTTTTTTTTTTTTTGATTGTTAAACTCTCAGTCTTTCAAGGACCAGGATGTAATTTAAAAACCTCTATATTTGAGGCCAGGTGCAGTGGCCCACACCTGTAATCCTGATGCTTTGGGATGCTGAGGTGGTGAAATCACCTGAGGCTAGCTAGGAGTTTGAGACTAGCCTGGGGAACATAGACCCTGCCTCTACAAAAAAATTTTAAAAATTAGCCAGGCATGGTGAGGCATGCCTGTAGTCCCAGCCACTTAGGAGGCTGAGATGGGAGGATTGCTTGAGCCTAGGAGGTTGAGACTGTAGTGAGCTATGATGGCACCATTGCATTCCAGCCTGGGTGACAGAGCAAGACCCTGTCTCTTAAAAAAAAAAGGATAGATGGGCCAGGTGCGGTGGCTCACGCCCGTAATCCCAGCACTTTGGGAGGCCAAGACAGGCGGATCACAAGATCAGGAGATTAAGACCGTCGTGGATAACACGATGAAACCCTGTCTCTACTAAAAATACACAAAATTAGCTGAGTGTGGTGGCGGGCGCGTGTGGTCCCAGCTACTTGGGAGGCTGAGGCAGGAGAACAGCCTGAACCTGGGAGGTGGAGCTTGCAGTGAGCAGAGATTGCGTCACTGCACTCCAGACTGGGCAACAGAGGGAGACTCTGTCTCAAAAAAAAAAAAAAAAAAAAAAAGGATAGATGGATGGATGGATGGATAGATAGATAATGTTATTTGAAAAATGGGTTCATTAGTGAGGTTTATTTTAGACAGTATTGTATAAATTTTTTTTTTTCCTCTTTTGAGACGGAGTCTTGCTCTGTCGCCAGGCTGGAGTGCAAAGGCGCTGTCTCAGCTCACTGCAACCTCCGCCTCCCAGATTCAAGCAATTCTCTTGCCTCAGCCTCCCGAGTAGCTGAGACTACAGGCACTCGCCACCACGCCCAGCTAATTTTTTATTTTTAGTAGAGACAGGGTTTCACCATGTTGGCCAGCTGGTCTCGATCTCTTGACCTTGTGATCCGCCCGCCTCGGCCTCCCAAAGTGCTGGGATTACAGGCGTGAGCCACCGCGCCTGGTCATAAAATATTTTATACAAGTAGTTTATTTTATGAAAAATTCATGTACGTATTTGTGGTTGTTATATGGAAATAAAGTGTTTCATGCTGGACATTGAGTAAGGCTGTTTCACTCTTCCCTTAGCACCCAAAGTGAATAACAGGGCCGGTTTCTGGGGAAGGGGGAGGGCTTGGTTCTGTGAGCTCAGGTGTGGAATTGGGACGGGGGCATTTTTCCTTTGGGTGTCTCCACTACGTGAATCAATTAGGTAGCCACCGTTCTGTTTCCCTGTCCTGATCTCCTGTCTCTGAACACTTCCCATGTTCCCAGAATCTCTTTGGAATTATTGCCAGTGTCTTACACCTGGGGAACATTGGTTTTGAAGAAGACGACCAAGGCTGTGCCACTATCCCAGACACCCACGAGATCAAGTGGATAGCCAAGGTGATGTTACTGTTTCGGAGAGGACAGAGGGAGGGGGAGGGGTGGGAGAGGAGAGCAAGGCCACTGGGTGCCCACAGTTAGGCCCAAATGTCTGGTGCCATGCTCTTGTGGCTGATACTGGTTAGGAGGTTTAAAGAGTGGGGGTTTGAAGGAGAGGGCGGGAGTAAAAGCCAGTTGGTTGAGGGAGCTATTGTGGTCTGTTTTGTACTAAAGCACAGTGATCATTCTGGGCAGATAACCCTGGGCCTGGATACTCCATGAACTCTTTATAAGTTAGTGAGTAGGCCGGGCACAATGGCTCATGCCTGTGATCCCAGCGCTTTGGGGAGCCAAGGCAGGAGGATCACTTGAGGCCAGAAATTCAAGGCTGCGGTGAGCCATGATCATGCCCACTGCACTCCAGCCTGGGCAATGTAGTGAGACCCTATCTCTAAAAAAAAAAGAAATTAGCTGTGAATGGTGGCACACACCTGAAGTCCCAGCTACTAAGGAGGCTGAGGTGGGAGGATCACTTCAGCCTGGTAGGCAGAGGTTGCAGTGAGCAGAGATCGTGCCACTGCACTCCAGCGTGGGTGACAGAGTGAGACCCTGTCTCAAAAAAAGTTACAGTGAGCTATGATTGTGCCACCACATTCCTACCTGGCAACGGAGCCATACCTTGTCTCTAAAAAAATAATAAAAAGCAAGTAAAACTGCGTCACTGAATAGCACTTTGGATTTCTTTTATATGCAGCTCCTGGGAGTCCACCCAGCAGACCTTCTGGAAGCTCTCACCCACAGAAAAATTGAAGCCAAAACTGAGGAGGTAAAAATGGCTCTAGGTGGAAATGTGCCGGCCCTCCCTGCTGCTGCTGCCTCCCTCCAATAGCAGCAGGGTAGTGGCCTCAGGGGAGGCCAAACCTTTGATCCTAGTTCACCAGGCCCTGCGTGGTCCAGCTCCTGTGGGGTCTCCTGCCTCATCCTCCCCCATCACCATCACCACCGCCACACCAATGCTAGCAAGCCATGCCTCATACTCCCTATGTCCTCCCTCCACAGGAGTCTTTGCACCTGCTGTTCCTTCTGCTGGAACACTGTTCCCGATGCTTCATCTAGTTAACTCCTCTTCGTCTTTCATTTCCTGGGGGTCACTTCCTCAAGGAGCCTTCTCTGATCCTCCCACCTCTACCTCAAAGCACCATTTGCATCTCCTTGTAGCACTTTCAACATGACTGTGTGATTCTTTGAATGTCTCTCCCTCCCTCCCTACCCCCAAATGAACTGTGAGCCCATGAAGGTCAGGACTGCGTGTCTGGGTTACAGCTGTATCTTGGCAGCCCAGCACAGTGCCTGGCACACATGGGCACTCAAGAAAGAGCCATCGTATGAACCAAAGGCAAGAGTAGCATCTTCCCAGCATGTATGCTTTGCCAGTCATCATTAAACACTAGTTCAAGACTGTGTGTGGTGGCTTATACCTGTAATCACTTTGGGAGGCTGCAGTGGGAGGATTGCTTGAGCCCAGGAATTTGAGATCAGCCTGGGCAACATGGCTAGACCTCATTTCTACAAACAAACAAACAAAAAAAATCGGGGCATGGTGGTGGACACCTGTAGTCCCAGCTACTGCATTCCAGGCTGGGCAGCAGAGAGAGATCCTGTCCCTTTATTTATTTGTTGTTGTTGTTGTTGTTGTTGTTAAGAAAAAAAGACCTGTAATCCCAGCACTTTGGGAGGCCAAGGCAGGCGGATCACAAGGTCAGGAGATCGAGACCATCCTGGCTAACACAGTGAAACCCCGTCTCTACTA